ACTGACTAGCAGCGGCTGAATCAGAGACACCTGGGGCAGACCCGGACTATCGGAAGGGGGGGCTATGAGGGGTCTGGGGTGGCATCCCCCCACCCCAGACAGTCCGGCAAGTCTGATAATCCGGTACCCCCTGGGTCCTAAAGGTGCCGGATTATCGGAAGTTTACTGAATTAGGAAAAAGGAATAGAGAAAAAAATAGAAAATATCATAATGCCACTATATAAATCTATAGTATGCCCACACCTTGAACCATGTGCAGTTCTAGTCACCCTATCTCAAAAAAGAAATATTAAAAGTGGAAAAGATAAAGAGAAGAACAACAAAATTAAGGAACAGTTTCCATTCTTTTAAGCTTAAAAAAGAGACAACTAATGGGGAATATAATAGAGGTCCATAAAACCGTGACCATATGGAAAAAATGAATAGGAAAGTGTTATTTTCCCCCTTCACATGACACAATAACTTCAGAGGTCACTTGAAATTAATAGGCAGCAGCTTTAAAACAAACCTAAGTATCTCTTTTTTACACATTGGATGTCGTGAAGAATAACTGGGTTCAAAAAAGAATAAGTACGTTCATGGAGGATAGATCTCAGTGGCTCTTAGCCAAGATGGTCAAGGAGGTAACCCCACGCTCTAACCCTCTAACTGTCACAAGCTGGGACTGGACAATATTAGAGAGACCACTCTTCATTGCCCTGTTCTGTTCAGTCCCTCTGAAGGATCTGGCCACTGTTGGAAGACAAGATACTTACTGGTCTAGATAGATTATTGGTCTGAGTCAGTATGACTGTTCTTATGTACTGTTACTTTTCTTAATAGAATTTTTGGTTGATAAATTTCATAATTGATCAGATACAAATGAGAGATGTTGTCCTTCAGTCTAAACTTATTTCCATTATCTTTTTTCCCTCTTTGTTTTTAATTTTTTCCCTGTTACTCATTTGTTTGTGTCTGACACTGCCTTTCATTCTGGGAAGGTAAAATTTGGTGCTCTGGTTTGAAGCATGAGCATGTTTTCTACAGATGGGTGGTTGGAGTAGTGGTATCGGAATCTGGTTAACATTACATTTTGTTTATTCAGGTTTTCATTTAGTGGGAGGGAGCTTGTTCATTTAACAAATGTTCCTCCTGCATCAGCAGTTGATTTAATGCTGATTCACATGGCATAAGAGTATAAAGTTAATTACATTCACGCAATGTTCACATTGTTCTTTCTTTCCCGTTTCAGGTTTTTAGTCCGTTCCTTGATAAAGATGGCAGCCAATAATGCAGTATTGAACAGACTGGAACAAAAGGGTGCAGAGGCAGATCAAGTCATTGAATACCTCAAACAGCAAGTTGCTCTTCTAAAAGAGAAAGCTAGTAAGAAAGTCAATGTCTTAAAGCAAAGTTACTGATCATATGGTTAATACTATACTTACAGTGAGGATGTGTGTCAGCCGACGGTCAGGGCAGTGAGTCCCTTATGACCGGCTGAAGTTCTTTTAAATTGTGCTTGGTTCTGTTACAGCAACTGAAGGAGTCAGGTTAAAGCTTAAACAGTTACTATTTTATTGTTACAGGGTAAACTTAGTTGTTAAATGCTACTACTGTGTTACAGATAACACATCTATTTCTTTACTATTAGCAAAATATAGGTCTTAAAAATGGTTACAAAGAAGATAAAGATAGAAAAATAGAAATAATGGTACCAAGTAACAGCTTACTCTTTCTATGTGTACACTTAAGACAGAGGACCACATCCAGGTACCATTTTTACCCCCTTCTGTGCCTCTCGACTCCAGCATGTCAGGCCAGGGCCGGTCCCTCAATTCCTAGGAAAGACGAAAATACGAGGTGGGCGTCCCCATAGAACCTCGGGAGGTCAAACACCTAACCCGACCAGCAGGTAGAGGGTAGAATGACACTCAAAGTGAGTGTGTGCTGGACCCATCTTTTATACTCATTTTGGGTCACGTATTTCTCTTTCTTATCTGTGATGCCAAATGGTGCTGGTCTGCCTTTTGTGAGACCAGTTCTTACAAGGGAGTTGTGAACTTAATTTACACTTGTAAGAGAGAGAACTAAATTGGAATTACTGGGGATTCTTTTCTCAGTGGGAAATTCCTCTCCCAGGGACTGTGTGTGTGTTCAAATCAACATGGGTGCCAGCCGGGGCAGTTCTCGCAGCCTCGAGGCCAGTTTATTGACTTAATCGCTCTCTCTCCACATATCTATGTTTTCAGCTTCTCAGGATCAGATGAGCCAGCATAGACTATGCTGATTTTACTGCTCCTTCTCTGCCCTGTATGCTTCAGAGAGGCAAATAAGATGGATGATATGGGGGGTTGGTCTGTCTGGCTACAATGTGGTGAATTTCATATGGTGCAGTTAACTGCCATTGTATATTCTCATTCCCTCAAATCAAGTTGTTAATAGTTAAGGAATGAAAGGAAGGGAACGAGAAAGTACTATGAAATTATAGTTTTTCTATTTGGAAACAATAAAGGAGATAGCTTCAATGACACAAACAGATTGGAAGTGAATTATTCCAAGAAGGGAGATGGCTCAATATACTTGCATAAATGTGTGTGTCTGAAGCTGTCAGCAAGCTCTCTGCCTGTCTGTCTTTTTTATGTAAAAGTTAGACCACTTTCTGACAAGGAAATAGAAAACACTACATATATGTAAATTTATATCCCAGCTTGTTTCTAGAAACCAGGATTTATATGATCTGGGTATATATCCTCAGTAGTCTGATATTTAGCCACATATTCTGTGTTCATTCATGAAAAACTCCATTTTCATTTATGAGTCTGTCATACTTACAACATGGCTTTTCATTCTCAGAGGTATTTTTACACACATTCATTTCAAAGGATGAAGGTACACTATCAAGAATTGTCAAGCTTTTATCTTTTATAGGTTTTTTTCATTTCTCTTCTTTCTACACTGTATTAGGAAACCTCATTCATTAGTCTTACATAATCATTTTCTGCTTATGAGCCAAACCATTCTCTTTATTTGTGGCTTTGGTCAATTTACTGAATACTTAACAGCTCTCAAAAATTACTTCTGTCCTACTGATAATGAAATACTCTTGTTCATCTCTTAAAGCTGTTCTAAAACTTAGTGTCTAGTCATATCAGGAGGCCAAAGACTCCTCTTCTGTCTTAGCTTCTTTACAAAGCAAATTCTTAATACATGCCTCCATATATCAGTTTCAGTGCTGCCCTTCTGTGTTCATTGTAGACTGTCATAATACTTATCAGAGAAGAAATATCACTCCATACATAGAAATCAGCCTTCTCTCTTATATTCATTCATCACTATCACACCCATTCCCCCCGCCACTCTGTAAGTAAAGAAAGTCTTGAATGCCCATTTATCTATAGCCAAGCCCTTCGATACAACTACATCTGCTCTAATCCCACTGACAGAGTCCAGAAATTTCAGGATCTCTTCCAAGCATTTATAAACCTCAACTACCCACCCGGAGAAATAAAAAAGCAAATTGAAAGAGCCAGACGAATACCTAGAAACCATCTACTTCAAGACAGACCTAAGAAAACCAACAATAGAACACCACTTGTCATCACCTACAGCTCCAACTTAAACCTGTCCAACACATTATCGATAAACTACAGCCTTTACTGGAACAGGATACTAAACTCCAAGAGGCTCTGGGAGACAGACCCATAGTCTCCTATAGACAACCACCTAACCTCAAGATGATTCTTACCAACAACCACAGGACATACCACACTAATACCAACCCTGGTACCTTCCCTTGCAACAAACCCCATTGCCAGCTTTGTCCACATATTCATTCTGCTGATACCATTATTGGACCTAACCAAGTGAGTTATAAGATCAAGAACACACATTCCTGCGCATCCAGAAATATAATTTATGCTATCATGTGCCGAAAGTGTCCGTCTGCTATGTACATTGGACAAACGTCTTGGACACTTCGCCAAAGGATTAATGCCCACAAAACAGATATTAGACAGGATCACAAAGAAAAAACAGTTTCTTGCCATTTCAACCAGAAAGGACATTGTCTCAACGACTTGATTACCTGCATCCTGCATCAAGGGCCTTTTAAGACTACACTTAAAGAGAATCCTCTGAACTGTCATTCATGCTTAAATTCGACACTTTACGCCTAAGTTTGAATAAAGACTCTCATTATCTTACCCATTACAAAGATAGCTTCCCCAGTTATCACCTCTAATATCATTAGCTCACAGACATTTACCCCCCTCGCATTCTCCTTCTGTTCTGAAATTTGATTTGTCCTTTTCATATGTGTTCATTTTTTTAATTGTATCCTTTGGTTGTGACAATTTTCTTCCACTTTTTGATCTGAGGAAGTGGGTCTGGCCCATGAAAGCTCATCACCTAGTAAGCCATCTTATTAGTCTTTAAAGTGCTACATAGTCCTGTTTTTCATTTTTCATGTTTTCTTCTGTCACCCCTTTAGCATGCAGTGTTCTCCTTGAACTGTTTTGTTAGCTATCATCTTCAGAATACTCCTCACGTCTGCTGTGATACCTACCAGCAATCAGACAACAGTTCATAATGATTGCTGAGTTGTAGGCAAAAAATTCAATAACCCCAGAACAAAATACATTTACTATGTATGTTCTGAATCATTTAACTGCATTAACTTACTTTTACCCATGTCCCCGTTCTCTGCTTGTTTGTCATGCTTATGCTTTTTCTTAATAAATTTTTGTAATGTCCCAGTCCTGACTGGGGCCTTTTGCATTTACCACAATCAAAATTGAAACTTTGTATTTTTTTTGCTGTCTTTTTGGTAGTTTGACTATAGTTTAGCAATTAAAATGAAGATTGCTCACATTGTTAATGAATGCATGTGGACTAAAGCCTTTTAACTTGCTAAGGAGTTCCTTTTGGCATGTAATCTGAATGTTTTGCTTATAAATATAAAATGACCACAATTGTTAACAAACATTCTGTATGGCAGAGTTAACCCCACTAGATCTTACATCAAAACATTTGTCATCTTTCTCATATCCCCAGCTTTTCTATGGAGTCAGAAACGAGTGATCTCTAAAGATTAAAAGATTCAGCCATTATTGCCAGCCTTTTCCCCTCCAAGTCATTTATGATGACCATCAGCATTGTTTCAATTAGTTAATCAAAATTACAAGGTACATTTTAATACACAAAGAATGATGCACATACCATTAACACTCAAGTTTAATCCCAAAGCTACCCCACATCAATCATTCAACAATAGAAATTGTTATTAAAAGCTAGTGTCTAATTTAATCTGTGAATAAAGTCTATTTGTTTAACCAGTTAACCAAATAAATGAGATTTTACATCCCTAGTGTAATCACTGGAGCCTGTAATTTCTAATGTAAATTGTGTCAACTCTAGTCTTGCAGGCATCTCTCAGAGAAGAAAAGAAGCTTCGAGTAGAAAATGCTAAACTGAAGAAGGAAATTGAGGGACTGAAACAAGAGCTGATTCAGGCAGAAATTCGGAATGGAGGTGAGAGAAAAAGGAAGGAAAACAAGATCTTCACATGTGTGGGCATAGATCTTGTTATTTTTGCTGTTTTGATCACTTGTTTAATCCTTCCTGACTCATATTCTTGTAGTTATATCCATGATGACCTTTTGGAATGCCATTTCTTTCAGTGGTTAACCATCTTTGTAGCTCAAAGTTATGAGAGTTCTCTTGTAAGCTGCAGAAATAACAGTTGCATTTGAAAAGTTTAGTCTTAGTTGGAACCATATATTTCTACTGTGCCTAGCATAATAGGGACCTATACTGACCTGAACTTTGAGTGCTCTTATAATACACTGGAAGATATTGGGTGATGAATGCTTTTGAAACTCTGTGTACTTTATTTAAGTACCTGATCTGAAACTGAGCTCCTTTTGAAGATATAGTCACAGTTGAGGGAACTGAATACTCTTGTAAAAGCTCCCTTAAATGATTTACAGTGGTCTTCCAAGAATTTTGTGGCAGAACTAGATTAGAGCCTAGATTTTTTTCTGAGTCTCAGTGCTGTGGCTTAACAGCAGACATTTCTATACCACTGTTCCTCTTCTGTCTCTCTACCACAGTCTGGATCTGTCATCTTTGTTTGTTTTTTCAGTATGTAAAAAGTGTTTTTTGGAATCTCAATCACTGTAACGAAAACAAAAAAATCCCACTCTGTGATGGCTATAGTCACCATTATATTTTGCTTTTTGCAACTTTTATATTCTTCATAACACTGTTTAACCTGGTGATTTAAGCTTAGGTTCTCTATAAGATTACATTTGTGCTAATTTTATGCACAAGTAGCCTCATTAAAGCTAATATAAGTAGTCACATACATAAAGTTGAGCATCCGCATACATTTTTGCAGGGTCCATAAATTCTCATTTTCTATTTGAATACACCTAAACCCAAAACAAAAAGGGAATAGGCAGAGAGAAATAACAGGCAGGCATAGTACTGATAGAATCACCTCTCTTGCTTTATTTTTATTTTTGTAACATTTTTAAAGTTATCCATTTTCTTTGAGGAAAAGATACTAGCTTTCCAAATTTAAAAGCAATAATACTGTTATTTAATCAGAATAAATCTTGTTGTAGGCTTGTATACTATGTATAAATTGAGATCTGTGTAATGTTTCTTCATTTAACCAGCAACAGCGGCTGACATAACTGAATATTTGAAATAATTTTTATTTTATTTTCTGAAGCATTAATTTCTTATGTTTTTCTTTAGATTTTCTTTATATTTCAGATAAAAAGCTCTGATTTCAATTATAGTTTTAAGGAAATTAAGTAGCACTTCATCTTCCATTATGTTTTAATTTTAGTGAAACATATCCCACTTTCATCCAGTGGAACCATTTCTACAGCTTCATTTTCAGAAGACTTGCCACAGTCTATACCTGTCACATCCTCTTCTGGCCCCAAAGATGAAATTAAAGGTGGAAGTGAAGAAAAGAAAAAAAAAGAGAAAGCAGAAAAAAAAGGTATTTTCATTTTTAAAAATTCCTTAGGCATCTGTAACAATTTGAAGACTTTCTATTTACAGTTTTATTGCATAGGGTAGAAAAGAATAATTAGTAAAGCTACAATAGGAAAATTCATTAACTCTTAAACTCCTGAAAATAGAAAGTACACTTGAACCTCTTTAATTCAGCAACCTTGGGAAAAAGGGTTTGCCAGATGAAAGATTTTGCTAGGCCAGGGAGGGAGGGAAGGGAATAGGGGCAGGACACTTCCTTAGCGCTCCGTGTTCCCTGCTGCTCCCAGACACCGCCTCATGCTGCTATGGGGAGTAGCAAGGAAAAGCCTCCAGTAGAGAGCGCCGCTGTGCTGCCATTCCTCCAGCTGCTTCTGCCTGCTAGGGTCTATACCATGAATGTTCTTGAACTAGACACACCCAGAGTATGGAGGTTAGTATATTTACAACCAATAATTAATCAAATAAGTTTCAGGAACTTAAATTTTAAGTTGGATATTAGGTAGATTTGTGTCAATATGGCTGAATTATATGTTGTTTCTAAATTTTAAAATAATAAATAAAATACTGAAATTTTGGGGTGGACTCTGCCACAGTGTATAGAAATAAATAATAACAATAACAACAGATCTAAAGTTGATTTTCCAGTTTTATTTCTAACATTGGTACTGTGCAAGCAACAGCCCATGAACTAGCTTAGAGGAATCACTTGGGAAGAAGTAGTAATGTAATATATTAATAGAAATGTAGCTGTGTTAGTCTGGTGTAGCTGAAGCAAAATGCAGGACTATGTAGCACTTTAAAGACTAACAAGATGGTTTATTAGATGATGAGCTTTCGTGGGCCAGACCCACTTCCTCAGATCAAATAGTGGAAGAAAATAGTCACAACCATATATACCAAAGGATACAATTAAAAAAAATGAACACGTATGAAAAGGACAAATCACATTTCAGAACAGAAGAGGGATGCAGGGGGGGGAGGGGAGGAAGGAAGGTAAGTGTCTGTGAGTTAATGATATTAGAGGTGAGGAGAGTTAGATGTCTGTGAGCTAATGGTATTAAAGGTGATAATTGGGGAAGCTATCTTGGTAATGGGGTCTTTGTTCAATCGCCCCCGGAGAGTGTCGAATTTTAACATGAATGACAGTTCAGAGGATTCCCTTTCAAGTGCAGATGTAAAAGGTCTTTGTAGCAGAATGCAGGTGGTTAAGTCATTGAGACAGTGTCCTTTCTGGTTGAAATGGCAAGAAACTGTTTTCTCTTTGTGATCTTGTCTGATATCTGTTTTGTGGGCATTAATCCTTTGGCGAAGTGTCTGAGACGTTTGTCCAATGTACAAAGCAGAC